AGTTTAATTACCAACGGTGATGATACTACTAACTATAACGGCCAAGGCCTTATTGATTTTAGTAATGATAGCGATCTACTTATTCTAAACTGTAGTGATAAATGCACTGGTAAATTTACCTGGTTCCAAAACCAACACAAAAGCATACTAGATTATGGCCTTGTGTCAAATAATGTTTACGATAACATAAATGAATTCTTAACTGATGACCATGGTATTTTCAACTTAGGCAGTGACCATAATATGATCACTATCGAAATGGATATTCAACCAACACACAAAATTCAAACCGTGAAAACCATTGATTACTGTTGGAATATAAAACATGATCAAGATTGGATACCGTTCCAAGAAGATCTTGTTTCTAGATTTAATAACTGGGACCCTGATCAGTTAAGTGCTAATGAAGCATGGGACACATGGAAATCTCGCGTCCTATTCTCCGCTAAAAATACTATAGGATATAAAAACAAACCTAATAGCAAACCATGGTTTGATAATGAAATTGAAATTGCTATTAAAAAAAGAAAAGACGCTTGTCGTACACACAGACATTATTGTAAAAATATAAACAATAAAGATTTCAACAAAAGTATATGTGATATTCTCTGGAAAGATTACCAAACAAAACGCAATGAATGTAAAACTTTAATAAGACAAAAAGTTATGATAAGACGAGTAGATAAATGCTCAAAAATAATGAAAAAATGTGGACCCCAAGTCACGAGAATTCTGGTCAACTTTGAAAGGGAATAAGCAAAGTAACAATATCGCATCGATTTTGATTCCAGGAACTGACAAAGTAACATCAGACGTATCAATGATAAAATCAACACTTGTCAGCTAATTCAAAACGTTAAGCAAAACGAACGTAAATTCAGAAAATGAGAACTTAAATGATTACACCCTTACAAATAATAATTACCAACTTAAAGATAACTCGGAATTTAATGACCCGACTCTCGAAAAACTCACGTTTACACGAGATGACGTAAAGTACTGTATGCGATTTCGCTTTGTAAGAACAACAAAAGCCCAGACACACTCGCTAATGAATTGATAAAGAATGTAGGTCAAGTAATGATCACTTCATTATATAAACTATTTAAAAGGCTCGCTTTTCTAGAATGTATCCCAGATGATTGGAACAATGGCACAATCATCCCCATATTTAAGAAAGGCGACCGACAAAACTTAGACAACTATAGGGGTATAACTTTGAACTCCTGTGTTGCAAAAGTTTATAGCAGAATAATTTCCCGAACTTTATCTGAATTCATTGAAAATAATGATTTATTAACTGAGGTACAAGGGGGATTCCGTAGAGATAGGCGATGTGAAGACCATATCTTCACTTTAAAGAGTATAATCGCCACTCGCCAAGCTGAGGGGAAGAAGACCTTTCTAGCCTTTTTAGATTTCAGAAAGGCATTTGATACGGTTTGGAGGGAGGGTCTCATGAAAGTACTAGACGCGATTGGGATAAAAGGAAATTTATTTAATATAATACGAAACTTAAATGAAAATATTAATTGTAAAATAAAGTGTGGTGATATTGAAACTGAGTTCTTTAACATTGAAGAGGGCGTAAAACAGGGATGTTCTCTTTCCCCAACTTTATTTTCAATTTATATTAATGAATTATGTAAAATGTTACAAAATAGGAATTTAGGAGTGAACATATTTAACAATACATTTAACTGTCTTTTTTGGGCAGACGATGTTGTTCTTATTGGTGAAAATGAGAAGGACCTCAATACGCTTTTACAAATCACTACTGAGTTCTCAAAACAATGGAAAATGTCTTTCAGCTACAGTAAATCTAATATTCTTATTACCGGACAAAGAGTCAATATACATAAAAAATAGGTAATAGGTTAGGTAACAGTATGTGAAACTGAAAAATACAGATATCTAGGTGTGATAATCTCACGTACGATGTCTGACAATTCTCACATCGATGAAGTAGTTAAGAAGGGCAATCGCGTAATTGCATACATTAAATCAATCATAAATTAACAAGATGATTTCAATAGGGTATACTACGGGGATCTATTATGGAAGTCCATTGGAATCCCCACAATTAACTACGCTTGTTCGATTTGGTTTTGTAACGGTAAAGCAGCAAAGGCAAAAGTTGTAATATTTAATGGCAAGAAGCATTCTAAAAGCACCGCGAAACATTGCTAAGGAAGCACTCTACGGTGATCTAGGGTGGCAGTCAATTGAATCTTTACATAATTACTCGCGTGTTAAATATCTATATCGCTTACAGATAATGGATGATAGTAGATGGACAAAAATTTTATTTAATGCAATAAAATTGGTTGACAAACAATTAAAATGGGGATGGTTAAATCAAGTCCGAGAAACTTTTAAAAAATGTAATATGGAAGACAAACTATATAATGAACCTAGTTTTAACTGGTCACTAAAGTTAAAAGTTGAAATTATAAACGACAATAAAGAATGGCAAAAAAGAACACAATCAAAATCCTCATTACTACATTATAATAAGAAAGTATAATACATACTCCAAGTATTGAAATACACGCCATCGTGTTGGGATTCAATATTTCGACATTAATTATGTCATCATCAGGAATCCTGATGATGACATAATTAATGTCGAAATATTGAATCCCAACACGA